GCCTGTAGCGTCCCCCGCGCCCGTCTCGCTCGGGGGCGGTTTCGGCCTGTCACGAGCGTCCCCCGTGCCCGTCTCGCTCGCGGTTTCCGCTTGTCACGAGCGTCCACCGCGCCAGTCTCGCTCGCGGGCGGTTTCCGTACGTCACGAGCGTCCACCGCGCCAGTCTCGCTCCAGTCTCGCTTGGGGGCGGTTTCCCGGGGGCGGTTTCGGCCTGTCACGAGCGTCCCCCGCGCCCGTGTCGCTCGGGGGCGGTTTCGCCCTCTCACGAGCGTCCCCCGCGCCAGTCTCGCTCGCGGGCGGTTTCCGCTTGTCACGAGCGTCCACCGCGCCAGTCTCGCTCGGGGGCGGTTTCGGCCTGTCACGAGCGTCCCCCGCGCCCGTCTCGCTCGGGGGCGGTTTCGGCCTTACACGAGCGTCCCCCGCGCCCTCGCTCGGGGGCGGTTTCGGCCTGTCACGAGCGTCCCCCGCGCCCGTCTCGCTCGGGGGCGGTTTCGGCCTGTCACGAGCGTCCCCCGCGCCCGTCTCGCTCGCGGGCGGTGGCCGCTTGTCACAAGAGTCCACCGCGCCAGTCTCGCTCGGGGGCGGTTTCGGCCTGTCACGAGCGTCCCCGCGCCCGTCTCGCTCGGGGGCGGTTTCGGCCTGTCACGAGCGTCCCCCGCGCCCGTCTCGCTCGGGGGCGGTTTCGGCCTGTCACGAGCGTCCCCCGCGCCCGTCTCGCTCGGGGGCGGTTTCCGCTTGTCACGAGCGTCCACCGCGCCAGTCTCGCTTGGGGGCGGTTTCGGCCTGTCACGAGCGTCCCCCGCGCCCGTCTCGCTCGGGGGCGGTTTCGGCCTGTCACGAGCGTCCCCCGCGCCCGTCTCGCTCGGGGGCGGTTTCGGCCTGTCACGAGCGTCCCCCGCGCCCGTCTCGCTCGGGGGCGGTTGCGGCCTGTCACGAGCGTCCCCCGCGCCCGTCTCGCTCGGGGGCGGTTTCGGCCTGTCACGAGCGTCCCCGCGCCCGTCTCGCTCGGGGGCGGTTTCGGCCTGTCACGAGCGTCCCCCGCGCCCGTCTCGCTCGGGGGCGGTTTCGGCCTGTCACGAGCGTCCCCCGCGCCCGTCCGTCTCGCTCGGGGGCGGTTTCGGCCTGTCACGAGCGTCCCCCGCGCCCGTCTCGCTCGGGGGCGGTTTCGGCCTGCCCGCGCCCGTCTCGCTCGGGGCGGTTTCGGCCTGTCACGAGCGTCCCCCGCGCCCGTCTCGCTCGGGGGCGGTTTCGGCCTGTCACAAGCGTCCCCCGCGCCCGTCTCGCTCGGGGGCGGTTTCCGCTTGTCACGAGCGTCCACCGCGCCAGTCTCGCTCGCGGGCGGTTTCCGCATGTCACGAGCGTCCACCGCGCCAGTCTCGCTCGCGAGCGCTTTCCGCATGTCACGAGCGTCCACTCGCGCGCAGGCGGTTTCCGCCTGTCAAGAGCGTCCACCGCGCCAGTCACGAGCGTCCCCGCGCCCGTCTCGCTCGGGGGCGGTTTCGGCCTGTCACGAGCGTCCCCCGCGCCCGTCTCGCTCGGGGGCGGTTTCGGCCTGTCACGAGCGTCCCCCGCGCCCGTCTCGCTCGGGGGCGGTTACCGCTTGTCACGAGCGTCCACCGCGCCAGTCTCGCTCGCGGGCGGTTTCCGCACGTCACGAGCGTCCACCGCGCCAGTCTCAAAGCTCAAGGGGGGGGGCGGGGGCGGTTTCGGCCTGTCATCGAGCGTCCCCGCGCCCGTCCTCGCTCGTTTCGGCCTGTCACGAGCGTCCACACGGCCCGTCTCCAGCTCGAGGGGGCGTTGTCCCGCCTGTCACGAGAGGCGCCGCGCCCGTCGCGCTTGGGGCGGTTTCGGCCTGTCACCCTCGTGCTCGCTCAGGCAGGGGCGGTTTCGCGCATATCACGAGCGTCCTCCGCGCATCCTAGTCTCGCTCGGGGTGCGGTTTCAGGCCTGTCACGAGCGTCCCCCGCGCCCGTCTCAGCTCGGGGCGGTTTTTTCCGGCCTGTCACAGCGTTCCCCCCCGGCCCGTTCGCTTCTCCTCGGGGGCGGTTTCCAGCCTGTCACGAGCGTCCCCTCGCCCGCCGTCTCGCTCGGGGGCGGTTTCGGCCTGTCACGAGCGTTTCTGCATGTCACAAGCGTCCCCCGCGCCAGTCTCGCTGGGGGGCGGTTTCGGCCTGTCACGAGCGTCCCCCGCGCCCGTCTCGCTCGGGGGCAGGTTCCGGCCTGTCACGAGTGTCCCCCGCGCCCGTCTTGCTCGGGGGCGGTTTTGGCCTGTCACGAGCGTCCCCCGCGCCCGTCTCGCTCGGGGGCGGTTTCGGCCTGTCACGAGCGTCCCCCGCGCCCGTCTCGCTTTCGGCCTGTCACGAGCGTCCCCCGCGCCCGTCTCGCTCGGGGGCGGCTTCCGCTTGTCACGAGCGTCCTCCGCGCCAGTCTCGCTCGCGGGCGGTTTCCGCATGCCCCGAGCGTCCACCGCGCCAGTCTCGCTCGGGGGCGGCTTCCGCCTGTCACGAGCGTGCCCCGCGCCCGTCTCGCTCGGGGGCTTGTCACGAGCGTCCACCGCGCCAGTCTCGCGCACCCAGCCAGCCCCACACCGCCGTCCCCCCAGCCAGCCTCGTACGCCCGGTCTGCACCCCCAGCCGGCATCGCACGCCCGGTCTGCAGCACAACGAAATGGAAATCCCTTCTTATCTCCGTCGTCACAGCGATACCCAGGCACCTTAAGAGAAAACCTAAAGCAGAACCCAAGCATCAGAGATGCTTTTGGGAAAAACAGGAGGGTTTTGCAACTTTTTGCTTTCCTGGGGTTGGTCCAGAAAATGTGGGTTGGGGATTGTTTTTCGAACATTGTTCGATTTTTTTGAAAAAAAACAGGAGGGTTTTGCAACTTTTTGCTTTCCTGACCACTGTGAAGGGGGGTTGGTCCAGAAAATGTGGGTTGGGGATTATTTTTCGAAGATTTTTCGAAGATTTTTCGATGATTTTTCGAAGATTTTTCGATGATTGTTCGATGATTTTTTGAAAAAACAGGAGGGTTTTGCAACTTTTTGCTTTCCTGACCACTGTGAAGGGGGGTTGGTGCAGAAAATGTGGGTTGGGGATGGCTTTTCGAAAAAAAAACAGGAGGGTTTTGCAACTTTTTGCTTTCCTGACCACTGTGAAGGGGGTTTGGTCCAGAAAATGTGGGTTGGGGATATGATTTTTTGAAAAAAAACAGGAGGGTTTTGCAACTTTTTGCTTTTCCTGTCAGTCTCAGGAAGAGGAAGAGTGAAAAGGGAAAGAAGGAACAGGGCAGGGCAAAGAGAATTGGAGAGGACAAGGAAGAGAAAAAAGAGAAAGGAGATGGAACATGGAAACAAGAAGAGGGAAATAGAAAAGGGTAAGGAACGGGAAGGAACGGGAAGGAAAGGAAAATGGAAACGCAGAGAATAGAAGCGATGTGGAGGAGGGATGAAGGAGGAGGGAGAGGATGATTTTCCGATGATGTTTTTTGCAGAGGATGATTGTAGGATGATTTTTGGATAGGTTTGAGGATAACCAAATCGATGATTTTTTGAAAAAATAAATTACCCCGGCACGAGACCCCAAACAGTGATAGGCGGCGGTCACACGCTGCAGAGTATTGTGCGGGCTGCGCCAAAACGGCGGTTGCTGTCAGGAAGCTGCAACATCATTTTGCGGTATTTGCGCGCACATTCACAAAGACAAGGACATGGCCTGGAACAGACACGCGCAAGAGAATGCAGCAGACACGTGTCGAAGCCAGCGCCATGGTCGTGTGTGCGTGTGTTTGTGCGTGTGTGTGTGTGTGTGTGTGTGTGTGTGTGTGTGTGTGTGTGTGTGCGTGTGTGTGTGTGTGCGTGTGTGTGTGTGTGTGTGTGTAAGCATCACTACAAAAGGCAAGATCTGTGTGTTTGTTTCACCAGAGTGCCTGAGTTAGTGAGTTAGCTAGCTAGGTAGCTTCTTCCTTTGTTCTCGATTGTGGCGCTGTTGCTGTTGCTGTTTTTGGGTGTTGTTGTTCAGAGTACCATCGAGACGCCGTCGCGGCACAGAAGCACCATCCAAGCATGCCCAAAGAAAGGGAAACAAGCTCGCGCGGACAGGGCGGGAATCGAGCCCTGGACCTTTCGCCCTAGCCGGAAACCCGTGCCCGCCGGACCCCGAGCTATCGACCTCGACACGGCCTCCCGGAGCCCCAGGCCGGCGCAAATACGAGTTGTGCGAGCCTGATTGCTCAGTCGAAGTCGCACTTACCAACATCAATGCCCAAGAGGGTGTGAAGAGTGAGGCGGGGGACGTAAGAGGGGACGCAAAAGGGGGAAAACCATGTAGAATAAAGATCCAGCAAAAGAGAAATTCACAAATAATATACAAAGGGTAACACTCACTTTGGCGCGAGCCTGCGCAAGAAACCCCTATAAAGATAATAAGATCGAAAACGCATTTCAACATCAAGCAAAAGCACGAATCTGAGGTAAATACCACGCAACACGCTCGCGGACAGAAGTCGCCAACTTTGTGCGAGCCTGCGCAGTCGAAACGCATTTCAACATCAAGCAAAAGCACGAATCTGCGGTAAATACCACGCAACACGCTCGCGGACAGAAGTCGCCAACTTTGTGCGAGCCTGCGCAGTCGAAACGCACTTCGACATCAAGCAAGAGCACGAATCTGCGGTAAATACCACGCAAAACGCTCGCGGACAGAGCGGGCACCTCAATCTGGCACCAAGGCCTTTTCTCTTACCGTAAGAACCCCTCAGTGTAGACACACTGTTTGGGGAATATTTCAAGATTTCCAGTCTCTGGCTGGCTAAAAACATCGGGGAACCCTCAAAATGGGTGGCCTCCTTTTGGCTTTCCTTTCAAGCCAGTCAAAGGGGCTATCCTCAAAACAGCAGTGACAATGTTTGGTGTTTGTACACCCCCGCTTTTTCGTTGGGTCCTGTTGGTTTGGGGGGCAATGTTCTATCTCGTAGACTCGAGTCATTCGACAGATCGTTTGAGGTGGTTCCGGACCACCTTCAGCCCATGGCCGCGCTAAAAAGTGCAGATATGGTGGGCACTGGGTTGGATGAGCCCGGCATCCAGGCCTGAAAGTTGGCTGCCCGTTGGAACCACGGCAACTGTTGGAACAGCATCCTTTGGCAGATGTCCCCAGGAGTTGGTTGAAGACGTGAGTATATGTCTTATAAGAGACAAACTTTGGTCCCTCTTGTTGAGCGGTGCAAACCAAATTTTGCCTCTTGGTCCACTCTCTTGGCACCTCCTCCTTTTGAACATGAATTTGGCCGCCCGCAGGCCTGGCTCTCGCTGAAGAAGGGCAAGGAGTGCCTCGTGGCGGGAGCGCCTCGAAGCGACCAAGGGGTGAGAAGTGAGCTGATTTACTCTAAGCAAATCAAGTCAGCGAGGAAGGAAGCTAGCTGGGCAACAAGCAAGCGAGTAAGGGAGCAAAGAAGCAACATTCTTGCCATTTCGCAGGGTTTGTTGGTTTTTGTATGTCAAATCGTTTCTAAAAACAAACAATGAGAGCTATTTGCTTGTCACTAGCTCAAAACACCTCTCATTGAAATTGATCCATTCAAGTTGCAATCAGCACGGATGGCGGTGTAAAGGGCGCCATCACATATCTAATGGAGCAGGTGTACTGCAACAATATGGGCTCGCATTCATCGATGCTTGTGCTTTGTACCATGTTGTACTTGTCAGTTTGTCAATGTGGGAATTCCAGACAAAAAGAAGTCCAACCTCCAACGCCTTCCCTTTTGGTGGACCTAGTTCAAACATATGCCGCCCCTCGCCCCTTTTACTTTTCCTATTGCACCCGGACCGTCAATTGCCAAACATGGGCTTGTGGGCGCAGTGGTTCTTGGCACGCACACACCTTCCAGCATTGCCGACACTTTCTGTGAGCCTAAGATATCCGCCAGCACCGAATGGGAAAAACGCGGAAGTGTGTCTCCAATATTTCCTGTACTCAATCCAGGTCCGTCCTTGATGCAAAGACAACAGCTTGCTTTTGTCCCCTTGAACGGACTTGTTGACGCACTAGTGACATGTGAGATTTGATAGAGCCACCTCTGCTGGTAGGGGTTGCCAACAAACACCTTCCGTAGGGTGTCCATCTCGTTAATTGTGCTTGGTACTTGTTTGTGTAATGTTTTCAGCAGGCCTCAGGTGTTAACCTCTCAGACCTGTGGGCTTTGAGTCCTGGAAATATGGACCCCCAAAGGTAATATAGTAACATCATGTAACATGAACACTTTCCCATGGGTTTGGTTGATCTCAGGTGAAGGGCGTGCCAACCCACTTCACCGTGATCCAGGACGGCAACTGCCCGGCACAGCTGAGCAGCTCTGAGCTGGTGACGGTCACCGCAGTGCGTGAGGGTGAGAAGGCGGGAAGGACCCTTTCAGTTCCCGGACTTGTGAGCCACGAGTTGAGCTTGCTATGATTGATGTGGGATGCCGGAATCCACGACAGGTGACTTTCATGGGCCAGTCGGTGGTAGCTCCACTGGAAGTTGAGCATGTGGCAGGATGCTTGGCTGATTTGGAGGCGCGACACAGATGGTCACTTTACAACGAGTTCTACTATTTGGAGCAATGCGGGGCCATTTGAAGGCCTAAGCAAACTTACAATATGACCATGTTTGAACCCATAATCAATGGATTTTGGGCACTGCTCGATTGTGCTGGCCATGTTATGTACGAAGTCAAATCAGATGCCGGATGAGCAGCCGCAGCATGCGACTGAAAAGTCACCTGCCCAGTGGCTGTGGTAGGACGATGCCAGAGTCGGAGGCAGTGTAATCTCTTGTAAACCCTTTTAGCCAGAGTGATTGACGATGCGGTTCCCGAACCATTCAAGTACTCCTGGGCTCCACATGCGCGCCTCTAGGTGTCGCCTTCAAAACTCACAGGGCCGAGCCGAACTCGGCGCAAGTTTTGTGCGTGCCTTGGGCGAAAGCGCCGGAAATTCTCCATGTTTTGCGATGCTTCTCTTTTGGCCCGAGCGCTATCAGATTTGCACCAACGCTGTACTCCTCAGATTCCCCTTTCCCAGACACATGGGCCCCGACTTTCTGCTTTGTCCCTTTTGGGGACACATTCTAGGCCCGTTTGTGATTGGCGCATCCCGGGAACACAATAATAGACACACACACGTGCACCCCCTTTTTTCCCTTCAGGGGAAACATTCATTACAAGCTTTTGGCCCCAGACACATTCAATTGTCACACACCTGCGGACCTGTTTGTTCAGATTCATCAGTGCCAGACACATGTGGGCTCCAATTTTCATTGTGATCTCGCATCGTTTGCAGCCGGCCATGGCAAAGCTGCGTCCGTTGCCGGATTGCCAGGAGGCGCGAAAGGGTGCCAAAGATCTCGGACATGCATGTTGAAAAAACTGGCTTGGGACCTTAGCCAAACTGCAGTCCCTTGGGCCTCGCCAAGAGCCACCGGAGCAATGCTGTGTTTTTCTGGCTTGCGCATGTTGACTCTTGTGGATTTGATAGAAGGCAGAGAGGGCCGCTTTACCATGATGGCAAGTTGGGTCTTATTGGCGTGGGGGAGCTTGGAGCATCCTGGAAACGAGCGTTTAGGCGAGTACACTTGAAGACGAATCACCTTGGTGCGTGAAACAAATTGCTGGATGGGGCCGTTTCAGCCACGAGCAGCTTGCAGGAGGCCCCTGTTGCGGCAGCAACCCGAAAGGCCAGACGCGGGCCGGAGGGAGGAGAGGAAGCTCCTTTGAAAGGCTTTTGCATATGTTGTAGCCTACTTGTTTGTTCTGTGTGGATGCCTCCAAATGTGCAGCTCGCTGTACATTCAAGGTGATAGAGCCTTCGCAGCAAGCTTTGCAACAGGAAACTCGATGTATTGTCTTCGGGGCCAATCTCCAGCTCTCCTTTCGGTGTTGAAGCCAGGGATGGCTCAGGGCTTGGGGCGGTGTGGTATGCATCATGGAATTCTGTTGCCCAGCCATTCTGGAAACAGAGAAAGGGATATAACCCCATGCTGCGTAATTAGCTTGCCGAACATGGGCGCGCAGTTCAGATTCCCCAAAAGCGGCGATGGGCTGCAAGACGGTTGGAGAGAAGTACGGTAGTCCAGTTTCGCTCCCCCCGCCCACCTAGTCTAAGTGCCCTGTTTTGTTGCCTCAATATGGCCGTTTTGTTGTGGCCAAGTCGAATCGGTATCACGTGGACTTGTTACTAGTATGTGCAACAAGAAGTCCTCATCGTTGGCCTATGGTTGCCCGTGCAATGAAGGCCTTCTACCCATGGCAAATGCTATAGTTCAGTATATCTGTGGGCCCGCAGGTAGAGGCCCATCTGAAGACTGCCCTGACGATCTTGCAACTTCGAGCTCACGCACGCTGAGGGTCAAACGCCCCCAGACCTCGACGGATGCGGGGACCTCAACGCTGTCGGCGCCCTCCGTGCCGGCCCGCTTTCTCCACATTGGCCCAGACTGTCTGGCCACTTTCTGATTGAGACTCGTCTTGGTCTTGGACGATTGAGATGTGCCTTGGACTGACCGTTCTCGCTGAACATGAGGCCGATGCAAATGAGGATAGCCAGGATCCATTTCTCAACCTCGTTGAGATGGCCTTCGAACACCAAAGTGAACTTTGACTTTGGAAAGCTTGACGAGACAACGTAGCATGCACAGTGAGACCCCCTTGGTGAGGTCAGTCCTTGTGCTGCAACCTTAGCGTTGGAGAGCAGGCTGCGCAGCGATGCGCCCAGTCTGGCCAAAGCAGCAACTCGCGCAAGGTGTGCGATTCGGTTGGGCTTTCAACTTGCCCCCGGGTCGCGCAGGGCCTGGTGTTGCATTGTCGTGTTTCCCTTCCAAATAGGCGAAATGCGTGAGTAATCGCTGTGTTGCAGGGGGACAGAGCGTCCAATGCCCCGCGAACACGCGTTTGCTCAAATGGGGTCAGTCCGCATTCGTTTTTCTTCCGCCAGAGAGGCGCTTTGAATCCGAAACGCAAATGCTAGGCTCGCGTTGAATTGTTGTGCCGATGCGCAGCTCGCGCAGGCCGTCACGCATGGTACGGGTTGACTTGTCATTCAATCTTTCAGCTGAAGCCTTCCTTGCAGCTGGTCTTGTCATCAGAGCTCCAGCCTTCTTGGGCCCTCTTGCGCTGTGGGAGCCTATATATCGGGCCTGCCGAAAGTCAACCTCTTCGCTGAGGGGCAAGGCGTTCCTTGTGCAAGGTGTGTGATTTGGCCTACTGGGTGTTCGAGTCGGATGAGTCGGACTTTGATGACGTTTTGCCAGCGCTGGGCCACGCAATTTGCGTGCTTGAGTCGGCACAGCTGTGAACTGAGCGTTTTGTGAGCGGAGATCACCGTGTCGGTGAACCACAGCTGGCTGCAGAGCTGTGGTTGCCTTGTAAAGCCCCAGTGGCGCGTTGAAGCTGATATCAGGTAGGCGAGAGCTCACCCATGCTGGATTTGACGCCCATCAGCTCAGCCCCCTCCCGCTGTGCATTTTGCTTGGGGGCAGGTAAGGCTGTTGACAATTTGATTTCGTGATGCCCTGTCAAGCTTGTCGGCGAGGTAATTCAATCAATCAAAGACTTGTAGACGCCGACTGTGACAGTGCTTAGAGCAAAAATCATGAACCGCAAGGGAGGGTCGCCAAGAGGGTACCCGCCAACACAGATTGAACTGTCACTTTGCCTTCGCCTTTGGCTTTGCGCGACGCCAGTCCACGCCTGCTCACACAAGCAGCAGCTGACCCACAACAATCCTATTTCCAGACCGTGCTTGGAACCACTTACTGCAACTTGGCTTTTTGATTCAACATGCATGGGACGCCCAAGAGGCTGCCAAAAAGCTGCAACGCACTCCGGCAAGCTGGGCAGGTGAAGCACTCCACCTGAGGGACCTTGCAACGCACTCGTTTTGGTGGCCTTCTGCTTCAAAGCCGAGGCGTTTCTTGTGGAGTCTACCTGGATCGTTGAGGTGGCGCCAGACTGGATTCACTGGCCCGCGCAGTTTCTTCCGGCCACAGTAGCTGGCAAGTTGACCGCATCTCGATGTTGAAGGTCCCTTCAAATGTGGTTGTCATTTGGTTTGCGGGGTTTTGCCCAGTCCCATGATGCTGGCCAATAGCAGGCCTTTGGTCATTCGCAGAGGCAGCCGGACCTGTGTGCGACGTTTCCCTGAAGAGACGTGACGAAGGGAAGTGGCCTTTGATTAGTTGGTTACAACCCCGCTTCTTGTAAGACAATCGCCGGTCCGGGCAAACCAAAGCAACTTTCAGCGTGAAAATCGGTGTTTCAGGCAGAGAGACACAACTGCTCGCATACTAGCAATGAACAAGCGCGCTTTTGCGCGTTTGGGGCCACTTCCTGCCGTGCTTCGCGGCACTCTGGGCCTTTGTGGAGCTTGAAGTCTTTTCCGCGCGCAAAGTTCGAGCGTGGCCTGAGGCGCGTTATGCGCTTCGGCTTTCTGAAGGCAGCTTCTTTGACCTACAATCGAACAGAATAAGCCACCGGTCTAAGGCATTACAAGCTTGAGCCTGCCGGCTAAAGCATAGGGTGTGACCGTTCCCATGATACCTGGGCCCTCGTAGGTATGCCTTTTTTGTGCTGTTTGGGCCAAAGGCTCCTTTTGGTGCAAACGACACATGTTTTTGCCTCAGCGCATTTTTGCATATTTTGCTGTTTTGCGAAACCAGGATGAAGACGAAAAGGCGACATTGCCCGACCCAAAGGCGACATTCCCCGACCAAAAAGCGACATTTGCCGACCACGTGTTGGCAAGATTTTGAAGCAGCACTTTTAAAAGAAAAAGGCTCTTTTTGGAGCAAACGACACAATATACAGCTTTTTCAGCAAACGGCAGAAAAAATGCACACCTGGAGGGTCTAGGTATGGACAATTATCACCTTTCCTGACTTTTCACGAATAGCGGTATAGCGATACGGTTTCCTTTTGAGACTTGTTCTTTGGTCATTTGCAGAGAGAGGGATGTCAAGGTCCTAGCTTGACCTGGAAAGCGGCTTTGATTGGTTGGGTTACAACCCCACTTCTTGTAAGACAATCGCCGGTCCGGGAAGTGCTAAGAGCCCCTTATTGTGAACACGGCAGTTGCCTCAAGTTGGTGCAAGTTCACCGCATTTCGAATGGAGAACAACAAGCCGCACCCGACGCGCAGCTCGCGCAGGCCGTCTCGTCTTACGCGGAAGCTCGTTGAAGCTTCCGCGCTGCTGCTGCGAAAGAAGCCCCGGTTCGAAGCCCCAGAACATCCGATGTGTAACATTTCTGCTGTTTGCTGAAAAAGCACAAATCATTTCAAATCCGTCGTTTCGATCAAAAGTGCCATAGTTTTCCTGGAGCAGGAAAAACCGCTTTTTGACCAGCAACTTCCGCTTTTTGACCGGCAAATTCCGCTTTTTCGCGAAACACTCATGAGTGCAGAATTTGCAGAATTGTCCAAGATTCCATGAATGCGAAAAAGCGCTCGCAAATTTGAAAAGCGCACGCAGAAGTGAAAATGCAGTTATTTCCGAAAAGGCACTTATTTTACACACAATGGAGGCTCCTGATGAGGTCCTAGGTTATGACAATCTGTCATTTTCATTTTGGTCACCGCTCAATTGAATGGCTGTCAGAAGTAAAGAATTGGCACTGACACTGCGCTTGCAGACTGCGGTCCAATAGCTTGTGCAGCCACGCGTCCCCTGCCTTGGCACCGCACACTTGAGCGCATGAGCTGCGCACGTTGAGCAAGCAGCGCAGCTTTCGGCAATTGTGAGTAGCCCTTGAACTGCTGTGTTTCCCTTGGCGCTCAGCATATGGAATGACAGCTGGCAGAAGAATTCGACGCTTCACATGCCAATCCTTCATCCTTGTTGTCTATTGGGGCTGTTGCCGCTTGGCAGAGCCTTGCAAATCAAACACACTG